GGGGGGGGGGGGGAGGAGTCAAGGGCTAGAGAAGTGCCCGCGAGCAATTTAATTTCCCCACTACTGACACCAGTTGTCGCACGTCCACATGAAATCTACCTCAGAGCCCAGGAGAAGTAGGAACGATGGAGACTGGGCGGAGAGGTCCAGGCCCGTCTCCAGGGGTTCGATGCGTTCGGCATGGGGGCGCAAAGCCCGATGCAGCGACGCACGGCTCTGTCCGAAGAGCCCAGAGCGCCCCCCTTTCCCGGGCGTGGTCTGCAGAGAGCTCTCGACGGGTCGTCCACTGTGGGCTGCTCCGGGCCTGTTACTTCACACACACACCCCCTCCCGGCCCCGGTGTAGTCGAACAGTCCAAAGTGGAACTACGTGGTGTGGTCTCATCTCCGCCCCAAACGGGAGATCCAAGCGGCCAGTCCGTCCTTGTTCTGTGCTGCATGCTCTTGACGGACCCCTCTCGATGCGGCCCACACACCCCCCTCCGGGGCCCCTGAGATCCCAACTCAGGAGAACGTGGAGAGACATGGGTCTGTATGTATCTTCCTGTTGTGTCTGTGCCCTTTGAAGAGACCCTGTGCTCTGTGAAACAGAATTAAGTCAAATAAAAGCGACCTATGGACTGAAGCATCAGCTGGCAGCCAAAATCTCTTCTCTTCTGGGCTGGGTGTTGGCTTGTGCAGTTAAATGGCCGAGGACCATTGAATCCGCTGTTTATTGCTCTAGGTCTAAACTTTTCGGCAGCACATCCCCTTTTTGATTTTTGAGAAACCCTCCCCCCGCCCCGCAAAATAGCAGCACAACTTGTTGAAAAAAAAATGGAACTGGCCGGGGCCAAAAAACCAAAACGAGCAGCAAAACTTTGGGGGTTGGGGGGTTCACGCCCCTTAGTTAGGACCCCATGTTCTAGTACTTGGAGTAGGGAATTGAAAGCCAGGATTCCTGGCTATTTCCAGCTTGGGGGGACGGTGACTGGGGGGGGATATGATCTAATGGATAGAGTTGGGCACAAAGCTTCTGGGTTCTCTTCCCAAACTTTTGACAGCCACCCTGAGCTGACGGACGGTTTGTTTTACGGCACCCTGTCCTGCCCTTTTCAGGGTCAACGCCTGAGCCCAACAAGTTGTAGCACCAACAGCACGTCTCGTAGGCCTGGTCTGCACTAGGACTTAGTCCGAAATTAGCCTCCCAGGCCCATGTTCTAAGCGGTGCAGCCACATGCCCAAGCCCGTTCTTCCGGAATAAGGGGCTACAGGGGTCCCCAGGCCGATGTTCTAAGCGGTGCAGCCACACGTCCAAGCCCGTTCCTCCGGAATAAGGGGCTACAGGGGTCTCCAACCTTTTTAAGCACAGGATCACTTTTTGAATTTAAGTCAATCCAGGATCTGCCTCAAACCCAATTACCCCTGCTCCACCCCTTTGCTGAGGCCCTGCCCTCCTCACTCTGAATGTGGGGTACAGGAGAGGGGGACAGAGAGACATCAATGCCAGCGCTTGATAGTCCCCCAGCTAAACCAGTCAGGATCATCTGTCAGAGGCTCTAAGATCTACCGGGAGATCCCGATCGACTGGTTGGTGACCGCTGGGCTACAGAATTCAGACTCTGTAGTCCTGTTTTTCATGAGGAGTAACACACCTCCTGAACTTGAAATAACAGCAGTGTGGATGCTCTGGTGCTGCTAATTGGAATGAATTGGCTTCCGGGGCTAGGTCTACACTGCAAAGATAAATCGGAAAAAGAAAGGCAATTTGAATGCCGTAAATTGCGTTGCTTTTTCCGCTTGACTGTCGAAAGAGGCTTTTCCAAAATTTGGCACAGCTGCACGGCACCAAATTTCGGGAAATACTGCTCTTTTGACACAGCCCTTCTTCCTCATACAACGAGGTTTCCAGGGATGGCGAAAGAGCGCGTCTACTTTTTCGAAACTTTTCGCAAAAAAGTGGACGCATTCCTTGGTATCCCCGCGAAAAAGTGGACGCATTCCTTGGTATCCCAGAAAAGCGCTGTAATCTAGACGTAGCCCAGGTAGGCCTCCTGGGGCTCTGAGTCCGAGGCAGGCTCTGTTAATATAAACGTGCTACCTTGGACCACATTCGATTCTTCCCCGTAGCGTAGACACAAAACTTCGAACTTGTAAAATCGGGTGCCCAGAAGTTGAATTTAGTAAATTTGAAATAATTGCCTAGTGTAGAATGGGCCAAATTTGCACCCCACTTACTTTGCTGTCAGATTACTAACGCCACAGACATTCTTGGAGTTACACAAAGTGGGGTGAAGCCAGTGGTCTCAAGGACTTAGCAGTAGCTGACCAGCAAATGGAAATCCCTCCCCGAGAAAAAGTTGTTTTTGGTTTGGTTTTTTTAAATTTCTGTCCCGAATGAAAAGTCCAAAATATGAATTTGTTTTGCAGGAAGGGAGAAGATTTTCAGAAAAAAAATCCATTTGAGGAAAACCGGAATCTTTCTGGTTCCCAGAGGGTCGCCTGCAAGGTGGTTGTCAGTTTCACTTTCCACCTGCAGGCGCCATGTGAAATTGACACACGTTTTCCCTCTTTTCCGTTTTCCACCACTGAAAATCAATCAATCACCCAGCCACCTTGACGTTTTCCAAGTTAGCACAACAACAGGATCCTTTTCCATCCACGAGCGGATTGTTTCCCTGCTCATGTGCGGAATAAATTTATATGTGCACCGGTGCGTGTGCCCATGTGCACCACCCCACGCAAAACCTAGCAGTGGGCACTCTGCTAATCAGCTGGGTGGTGTTGGGATCTCTCCTGAATGGCTGCACAAGCTCACAGGGAACGCTGGGTGTGACCTGCACCCCAGTGCTGACAACGCTAGGTTCTCCCATCACTGCAGCGGCGTCGCTAGAGCAGTTGAAGTGTAGATGTACCCCGATCGCCTCCCTGTTTGGGAGGGTTGCAGATCATGCCGGCCAGCCTTGGTGTGAGCGAGCCCGGGACATAGGACCCCGTGTTTTCAAACTTGTGGGTGACTTGCGCCTCTCAGAGGTGGCCCAAGCAGCCGGGGATCCTGATGGCTGTTCTAGGAAAGCGAAGGGTTGTGGAAACAGATGCTGAGTCCTGCGTCCGTACCCTTCCCTTAAGCCAGCGTTCCTAACAGTGAGCCACAGGGACGTGCCGGCAGCAGCACGGAGCCAGCAGACGGACACTGCTCTAGCCCAGCGGTGCTGCCTCTGGGGGGGGCAGGAGATGTGTGTGTGAGTGGGGGAGGAATGCGCAGAGACCCCCAAGCTCTGCCAGAGTGGGGTGCCTGCCTGCTGCCTCGCCAGGCCCTGGCCTTAAAGTCAATGGAGCTGGAGCTGCCTGCGCTAAGGCGACCCGGTGATCGGCGGGGGTGCTAAGGCAGGTTTCCTGCTTGTTGTAGGCTGTACTGTGCCCCCAAAGCGGCCAGCAGCGGGATCCATCTAGGCGGGGGAGGGAGCGGGCACACCATGCGATACCCACGTCCCTGCACTGGCGCTCAACTCCCGTTGGCTGGAAACCGGCCAATGGGAGCTGATGGG